TAAATGATCATGTCCCTGATGTGACCAAGGTTTTCAGTGATAACCTGAAAATGGACATGAAGGTGTCGGATATCCATGCACGCATTGCACAATATTTCATGGATTTTGACCGGCTAGTGGATGAACATGGACTAGGGACATGGGTTGGTCGGGGACCAGCGACAGATGCTGCAGGCCGTGAACGCATGAAGGCTCGCTGCAAGTTACTGGTCTCGAACTTGTTCCCGACGGTGTTGCGGGTGGATATCGAGTGCCTCATTGCCGTGACGCACCAGCACGCTAAGCAAGATGATGTGGCGTTGTACGAGCTGATCGTCGTCCGAGCCAAGAGCCAGCAACATTTCCACACAATGCAAACCGAGTGGAAGCGTGATGATGCCCCAAGGGGCAAATCCACTGGAGGTAAGACTGGAGGAGCGAAGCAAGCCAGTAGGGCTGTTGGTAAGGCCGTACGTACGAAAGTGGAATCGAAGGCACCTCCCAACCCGCCTCGAACGGGATGTTTGATCTGTAAGGGGCCCCATTGGGCAAAGGACTGCCCGACTGGTACTGACGAACAGAAGCAAGATATCCAGCGCGAGGTGCAGGCTCGTAAGGCGCTAAGAGATGAACGCGTCAAGGCTGTACGGGTAGTACGGGCTGGAGAAGGCCGGCGTGCGTGCGTGCATTAACGGTGTTTTGGATGTGCCGTTCTGTCCCGATACTGGAGCGGACAGCAACATCATTTCGAGAGCCCTGGTCGACGAGCTTCAGGGTGTCGGAAGCACGCTAAAGCTGCAGGCATTGAAGCCTGTAGTGCAGGTGCAAGTAGCTGGTGGCGCTCGCGTGAGTTGTCGCGATGCTGTCATTTTGGATCTGCGTATCGAAACAGCAGCCGGACCTTTGCACCTCGCTGATGTACCGTGTCTTGTCATGGAGGGCCATGAAGACGAGCTTTTACTGGGACGCAAAATTATGCAAGACATTGGCATCGACATCGACAGGCTATTTGACCAACTTGCAAGTGGTCATGTCGGTGACGCAGATGAAGACGATGTTACCAGCGATAGCCCTCAAGTGGCTTTCTCGGTGGATGGTGATGAAGTCTATGGCTACTTGAACAAGATGGTTGATGCTGCCGGAGCTGCTGGTTTTGCGCCAGAGTTGTTGGAGGACCTACGCAAGCTGGTGTTTGAGTATGCCGATGTATGGCGTATTCGTATTGGGGCTGATCCACCTGCAGACGTAGAGCCATTGAAAGTGAGGCTCCGAGAGGGGGCTCAGCCGTACCGCAGCGGGACAAGGAAGTATCCACCGGCGCAGCGAAAGTTCCTACGGGAGTTTGTGTCGGAATTGGAGCGTCATGGATTGGTTCGGCGTAACAACACCAGCCGGTGGGCGTGCCCAGCACTGCCGGTCAAGAAGCCACAAACCGATGAATTTCGCTGCATTGTAGACTATCGACCGACAAACAAATGCACCGTGCCGTTAGCCGGAGCAACGCCGAATCTAACCTCAGCGACACAGAGTGTGATAGGGGCGTACGAGTTCGGCCTCTTTGATCTCTTTAAAGGCTTCTGGCAACTCCCACTTCACCGTGACAGCCAAGAACTTTTCAGTTTTGTTACTGAAGATGGGGTGTTCACACCGACGCGGGTACCGCAAGATGCAAGCGATTCCGCAATGCATTTCCAGCTGCAAATGCAGCTCTGCTTTCAAGCCATGATGTATCGCAGCATTCTCGTATGGATTGATGATCTGCTATTATTCGCTCGTGGTGCCGAGGAATATCTAACTAACCTGCGATCTTTCTTTAAGGTGGTTCACGAAAGGCGGCTGAAGCTGAACGCCAAGAAATGTGTGTTGTTCGACACCAAGGTGGTATGGTGTGGCAAGGTGATTGACGGTACAGGCGTCAAGCACTCACCCGATCGCCTCACAGCACTGACGAGCATGGCGCTACCGCCGACTGCTGCAGCGCTCCAGCAGTTCCGATGTGCAGCGAATTGGCTGCGGGAATCAATGGTGGACTATGCCCGAGTTGTTGGTCCGCTTCAATCGAAGCTAGAAGCAGTGATGGCTCAACGGGGTCGGCGCAAGGCGCAGCTAACTGGTGTCGAACTCACCTGGCCAGCGGATGATAAGGCAGCTTTTCGTGCGGTGATCGATTTGTTGACGACTTCGGCCAAGTTGTTTTTCCCGGACCCAGATGCAGTTGTGTGCATGTTCAGCGATGCTTCCCTGGGCGGTGGGGCCGTCGTCGTTAGCCAGGTCCGCAATTGGATCGCTGGGCTACCGGTGACGGAGCAACCACACGAACTACTCGTTTGCTGGGGTGGTCTTTTTACTGGGGCTCAAGGTAATTGGTTTATCGTGGAGAAGGAAGCATACCCTGTTGTTCGGGCCTGTGGTGATCTCGCTTATCTTCTTGAGCGTGAGAAAGGTGTGCAGATTTATTGCGACCATGCAAACTTGATTCACATCTTTTCCCCCGATAAGACGGTCAAGCCACATCTTCGCGGCAAGCTGCAGCGGTGGGCACTCCACATTGTGGGAGTCCGCTACACCATCGAACATATCAAAGGCGAAGATAATGTTTGGGCCGATCTGATATCGAGATGGGGCCAAGCTAGTGCAGTTCCAGGGCACCTACCGCATGCTGTTAAACGTGTGGTGGCCTGCGTGGTTGGGAAGAACGAGGAGGACTATGCTAATGCAACGGCGGATGACGTCACTGATGGCGAGACCAGGGAAACGGTTAAGGACAAGCCGTGTATGATTAATCCCTTCGATCTCTCAGCTGCTTACTGGCATGTCCCTATGCAAGCCGGTGCTGTTGGTTTGGCCAAGAGAGTGACAACTAGACGCACACAGCCGATTTCGCTGCTGCGGCCGTTGCAGGACGGTAGATTTGTGTGGCCATCCGAAGGTGCAATTCGGGATCAACAGCGACGCCACCGTTCCAGTGCACCGACGGCTGCAGATGAAGACGGTCTCATTCGAGTCGACGAAAAACTCTGGGTCCCCAAGCAGGCCCGCGAGCTGTTACAACGTTTGTTGCTTGTGGCTCACTGTGGACCTCAGGGCCACAGGGGTAGCGACGTTATACAAGCCGCGCTTGCCGAACGCTTTGAAATTGCTAATGCAAGGGCGTTGATTGACCGTTTCCTGAGAGAGTGTCTGTTGTGCAAGCATGTGAAAGGCGGGAAACTTCTGATGCGCCCTTGGGGGCCTACATCTACGGCAAGTAAGCGCAACGAGTGTCTTCACATGGACTATCTACAACTAGGCGAATCCTACGGCGCAAGCCGATACGTACTCGTGCTCAAGGATGAGCTTACGCACTATTGCGAGTTGATCGCTGCTGATGCGGCGAACAGTGCCACAGCAGTCCAGGCTGTGTTGGACTGGTACAAGCGATTCGGGTTACCTGAGGCCTGGGTATCTGATAATGGATCGCACTTCAAGGCGTCAGTGATGGAAGAGGTTGCTGGTCGTTTGAAGGCCATACAGAAGTTTGTTCCGGTCTACACGCCGTGGATCAATGGTACCGTTGATCGTGTAAAATGCGACATTCTTACAGCGGAATGCAGGTCGCTACCGTGAGCTGTACGATGCTGCAGACGAAGCTGAAGCTTACGAGAAGGACGAAGAGGACGATGACGCCT